CCAAACAAATGTGCATTAACCGCTCTACAGTGGAGGCTGAGTTTATAGCCTTAGACAAGGCCGGTGAGGAAGCTGAACGGCTCCGGAATTTCTTGGAAGATATTCCATTTTGGCCCAAACCTTTGGCATCTATATGTATACATCGTGATAGTCAAGCGGCAATAGGTAGGGCAGGGAGCGTTATGTATAACGGAAAATCTCGTCATATCCGACGAAGACACAATACCGTTAGACAACTACTCTCTAGTGGTGTTATCACAATTGACTACGTAAAGTCAAGAGATAACGTGTCGGATCCACTTACAAAAGGCCTATCTAGAGAAACAGTTGAAAGATCATCAAAGGAAATGGGGTTAAAGGCCTAGGACAAGTCATCATGGCGGTAACTCTACCTAGCAGACTGGAGATCCCAAGAGCTAGGTTCAAAGAGATCAAACAAAGTTATGAATGACGGTTCAACATTGTCAACTAACTCAACCCATTCTCGTGATGAAGACAATGTTCAAAAACGAGGTAAAGCATTAAGTCTTTTTTGATGAGTCAATAAAGCTTAAAGTTTTTAATGATTTGCTAAGTCTGGCAGGATATGACCAGATAGTGTGTCTTTAGGATTACACGTTTAGGAATCATCTATGTGAGTGTGAAGTGTAAGCCGCTTCAAGGAGAATGAAAGTAAAGACCCATTCTCTAAGCACTCATGAAACGAGGCGGTGTTCATGGATGAAATGAACACAACCATGAGAACCATAGATGGTTAAGGATTGATTGTGTGACTTATGTTGTCTAGGTATGCAACAAAGCTCGACGGTTCAAAGATATCAAATCTACCGATTGACCGAGTATATCCGATATAAGTTCACTACGGAAAGTTCAAAGGGAAACCTACTTATCCAGATGCAATTAATTCTTGCATGTAAAACACACACACGTCCGTGCATTCCTTTATGTTTATAGCCATTCCCCATTCATGTGGGGGATTGTTGGATTTTGTTGTTTAATAACAAAAGAAGTGTGAATGAAAAATGGTGGGAAAAGAAATGGAGGGAAGTGAAATTTTGAATGAGTTCACTAATGCACTTTGTCCCTCATTGGTAGAAGGAAAGAAAATCTTTGTGTATATAAAGAGAAGCTCATCTTTTAGCTCTTAAAGAGCTAAGAAGAAGGCAAGCCTCGCGCCGTCGTCGTCGTCGCTCGCTCGGCTCGGCTTCGGCTTCGGCTTCGGCTTCGGATTCGGATTTGTCAATGCTTGATTGATTAATCTTTTTGGACAAAATTCTTTTTAAATATTTAATTAATTAAAGAAAATTCAATCCGGAATAACCCATGACCCGCGACTCGGTCCGGTCCGGCCCGTTTTTCTTTCCCGAATTATTTTTAATCCGTTTTACATTTCCTGCAATATTTTCAACAGCCATGGCTGTTCTGAAACAGTGTCACACCTGTTCCAACAGCTATGGCTGTTCTGAAAGGTTGCAAACCTTTTCAGAAACATCACCAAATTGGCTATAAATATACCTTCAAATCCCAGAATATTTACTTACGAAATTTTCTGATAATCTTCTTCTTCTTCTGCACAAAAATTCCAGTGTGTTTTACAGCCTTCGAGTGGTTCGCTGTTCATCGGCGTTTTTGGTACCAACACTCCGGTGAGTTAAATTATTCTATCCTGGGAGGATATATTCCAGAACCTCGGGTACTTGAGGGGAATAATTTCCTTAAGGACACACTGTATATTCAGTGGGCTCAATTTGTTCCTATACCATTTTTCGAAATTTATTTTGAAGTTCAAATACTGTTTATTTCTACTAACTTTCTGTTTCTGTTTTCAGAAAGATTATTGTTTTTATTTATTTACAGCAATACAGATTATTAACATTAGTTTCCTTATTAGCTCTTCTATTATTAGAGTAGATTGATTTGCTATAACAAACTGATTTGTACAATCTTCTACTTGATCCGTTTTGATCCTTTCCTTGGTTTGTTTATTCATTCCTTTGTATAAATTGTTGTTGAAATCAATGGAAATGTAATACATTGTCTCCTGCAAACTTCTTTATGGTATCAGAGCAGTAATTGCTTAACAACATTTTTTTGGGGTCTCCTTTTTCCTTAAGCTGGGATGGCTAACGACTCAACTGATCATTCAAACACAACGGCAACCAACACTCCTCGGCTGCAATTCATGTTCCTTCTTCTCCTAACCTTCTGCCGATGAATAATAATTACCAATTGATTTCCATTAACATTACCTCTCAAGCTCCACTAAAATTGACCAACACCAATTATCATTCATGGAAGTATCAGTGGGATACCTTGCTTATTGCCTATGATTTTCTCAAATTTGTAGAGAACCCACCAAGCTCCACAGCTACATCCTTTTACCTCCGGCAAGATCATCTCATTTGAAGCGCAATTGTTTCTTCTCTCTCATCTGACATTATACCTTTCATTACCGATGCCAAGACTTCATATAATCTTTGGCAACAACTTGCAACCACTTACGCTAAGTCATCGCGTGCCTGTATCATAAGCCTCAGAGAATCTCTAAGTAACATACAAAAGGGAAATCTCTTAGTTACTGCTTATCTACAAAAGATTAAGCAAATATGCTCTACCCTTGGCTCTGTTGGGATAAAAATCTCAAAAGATGAAATTTTCCTTCATGCTCTGCACGGACATCCATTTGAGTATGACAGTCTTACTTCAGCCTTGCGTGCTCGTGTGACTCCTGTGACGTTTGAAGAACTGCACGAGAAATTGCTTGACTTTGAGCATCGTTTGTCTCGTGGCTCAGTTGTCAACACCATTCCTATCACGGCAAATTTCTCTTCCAAACCGACTGCAAATCGCAACTCCAATCGTAATTCTGGTGGTTCACGCTCTAACAATGGAACTTCATTTGCATTTCCAAGTCGCAATTCTCAGGGTGGTAATTCTGGATCAAACTCAACAAACAAGAATAACTTCAACAATCGTTCCGGAGTTACCTGCCAACTTTGCGACAAACCTGGCCATCACGTTAAGCAATGTCGTAAGCTCCTAGCTCTCTTGAATACTGCTACTGGTTCAAATTCTAGTGGAAGTTTCAACAACTCCAATCGTACCTCTTCTCAGCCACGTGCAAATTTTACTTCCCAAGCTGCATATAGTGATGCAAGTTGGTTAGTTGGCTCAGGCGCCTCTTATCATGTCATAGAGGATCTTCAAAACTTGTCCCTCCATTCAGATTATGATGAAAGTAATGAAGTAATGCTTGGTGATGGTAATAATCATAAAATCATACACACATGATCTACCCTCTTCCACTCGTCCTTTTCATTTAACTAATGTTCTTTGTGTTCCTAAAATGCAAAAGATTCTTGTTTCAGTTTATCAATTGTGCACTGATAATATAATAATATCACTGTTGAATTCTCACCTTCTGCCTTTATTGTGAAAGATCTCTGCACGCGAGAAACCTTGGTAGCGGGCAAACTTAAGGATGGTGTATACTTCTGGCCAAATTCCACCTCTAGCAAAGATTTTCCACCACAAGCCTTGACCACCTCTACAGTTTCCGCTCCAAATTGGCATCGACGTGTCTCGGGCATCCGTAATCACCAATCCTTCGTCATGTTCTGAAACTTTTAAATCTTTCTACTTCCTTAGATAATAAGTTTTTTTGCAACTCTTGTAAGTGCAGTAAAATGCACAAGTCTCCTTTCTATCATTCTTCTATTACTAGTAATGCACCTTTGAATATGTTTATTCAGATATTTGGGGTCCCTCTCCAGAAATTTCAATTTATGGTTTTCAATATTATTTGATATTTGTTGATCATTATACGAAATACATCTGGTTCTTTCCATTAAAACGAAAATCTGAAGTATCGATTATATTCCCCAAAGTTAAAAAGGTTGTAGAAAAATTATTTCAAAAACCTGTCATCTCATTTTACTCTGATAATAGTGGTGAGTTCATCCATCTTAAATCATTTTTTGAAAATAATGGTATTTCACACTTTCTTACTCCACCTCATACGCCAGAACATAATTCCACTGCCGGGCATCGTCATTGCCATATTGTGGAGACATGTCTCACCCTTTTACACAATGCTGCTTTACCTCTTAAATTTCGGTCCTATGCCTTTTCCACTGCTGCTTACTTGATAAACAGGTTGCCCACAAAAATCTTGTTTAATGACTCTCCTTAACTTCTCCTTCACGGGAAACTTCCAAATTATGAAAAACTAAAGGTCTTTGGCTGCTTGTGCTACCCGTGGCTTCGCCCAGTTAACCGACACAAATTACAACCTCGCTCTAGCCCTTGTATATTTCTTGGATACTCCCAAAACCAAAGTGCCTTCAAATGTTGGGATCCGGTCAAATCTAGGCTCTACTTATCTCGTCATGTTGATTTGTGGATCATCACTTTCCTTACACATCCCTTGAGCCACAAGCTAGTCGCATGGAAACTGCTACCATTGATCATTCGGCACCAAATCACTTTGTTATTCCTTACATCCATTCGTCATCCTCACCATCATCACCAGCTTTGCCATCCCACTCTAATACATTATCTGATGGTTCCTTGCAACCAGGGTGTTCTTCCGGCAGTGGCCCCTTCTCAGATGATGAAGAGAACAATTTGGACTTATCATCAGGTATGTCTTTTCCATCTCCCTCTTTTCCTATATCTGCTTCTCCTTCACAAACACAAGACGTTGTAACTGAACCTAGTTCTATTGTGGAACCCCAACCCATCTCCCAACCATCCCACCCTATGATCACACGCTCCAAAATAACATACACAAGCCTATCCAGAAATTGTGTCTGAGTTCTGAGGTTGAATCTATATCATCTTCTAAGACTGACCCCTCCATCAAACCCGAAAAACTAATCCCAGACCCAATCAAGTCACTCAAATCAAAGAAGAACCCTCATGGCCCATATCTCAACCCTAAACCTATTGAACCTCGCACAGTTCATCAAGCTCTCAAATATCCTAGGTGGAGAGAGGCTATGAATGAAGAGCTCTATGCTCTTCAATCTCAAGGTACTTGGACTCTTTTTCCCCCAGTTCCTCATACTATGCCAGTTGGCTCTAAATGGGGTTTTCAGGTTAAATATAACTCGGATGGCAGTGTTGGACGGTACAAGGTCCGGTTAGTAGCTAAAGGCTTTCTTCAACGACCTGGGGTAAACTATGTTGCGACTTATTCTCCGTTGCCAAACACACTACTGTCCGGGTTGTTCTTTCTCTTGCTGTCTCAAATGATTGGCATCTATGTCAATTAGACGTTAACAATGCATTTTTGCATGGGAAATTAACTGAAGAAGTTTACATGTCTCAACCGCCTGGCTTTGTTAATGAAATGTTGCCTAACCATATTTGTCGTCTTCATAAGGCAATATATGGCTTAAAACAAGCTCTAAGAGCATGGTATGAAGAACTTAAATCTTATCTTCTTTCTGTTGGCTTTATCATTCTCAATCTGATCATTGCTTGTTCATCTTTGCCAAGTTTGGTCTTATCATTTATCTCATTATGTATGTTGATGATATTATTATCACCGGCAACAATTCTCACCATGTGGAGGACTTTGTCACTAGACTTGGTCGACGCTTTTCCATTAAAGATCTTGGTGGTTTAAATTTCTTCTTGGGTGTTGAGGTTGTTCGTACACCCACTGGGTTGTTCTTGACTCAGCAGAAATATATTTATGAGATTGTTGAGCAGACTAATATGAATGACGCCAAACCAATGCGCACGCCTACTGCTAGTGGTTCATGTCCGCGGTTGGATAACGGAAGCCCACTTAATGATCCCAAAGAATATCAAAACATTGTTGGCAGCCTTCAATATCTTCTGTTAACACGGCCAGATGTTGCATTCATTGTCAATAAGCTCTCCCAATTTACAAGTTCACCCACAACAGCACATTGGGCATTGGTCAAACGTGTCCTTCGCTATCTAGCTGGGACATCTGATCTTGGGATTTATCTTCGCAAAAGTTCACCCATTAATCTTCATGCGTTCTCTAATTCGGATTAGGCAGGTAATCGTGATGATAGATCATCTACAACAGCCTATATTGTCTTTTTGGGGTGTAATCCAGTATCCTGGAGCTCTAAGAAACAGCGTGCGGTAGCTCGCTCATCCACTGAGGCCATTGCTTCCGCTACTGCAGATCTTTGCTGGGTCAAGAACTTATTGCAAGAGCTATCTGTTACCCTTCACCAACCACCAGTTATATATTGTGATAATCTTGGAGCCACATATGTGTGTGCAAATCCTGATTTCCACTCACGGATGAAACACATTGAAATTGATTATCATTTTGTGCGTAGTTTGGTTCAGCGAGGACTGCTACGTGTCTCTCATGTCTCTTCCAAGGAGCAACTCGCAGATCTGTTGACTAAACCTCTGTCTAACCAAGACTTTGAGCGTCTAAGGTCCAAGATTGGCATCTCATCCCGAGCTACCATCTTGCGGGGGCATATTAGTGATACTCTGATTGATCATATCTCAGTGATACACTCTGATTGATCAAATATTTAGTATCCTTATTAGCTCTTCTATTATTAGAGTAGATTAATCTGCTATCACAAACTTATTTGTAGAATCTTCTACTTGATCTGTTTTGATCCTTTCCTTGATTTGTTTATTCATTCCTTTGTATAAATTGTTATTGAAATCAATTGAAATGTAATACATTGTTCCCTGCAAACTTCTTTAATCGGTACGTCTTTAATTTGATCCCATAACTTTTGATGTGAAGCATAAATTTAGGTGTAAAATTTATTATAATTGCAAGAAATAGTAAAGATGAACCATAAATTTAATATATAATGGGTTCGGTGTTAAATACCTAAAAATTGAAATCACTAGAAATTTAAATCCCGGATCCGCATCTGTTTCTTAACAACCTTTGAAAAAATTGTGCGTTGCAATAGCTTGTGCAACCACCAAAGAGAAAAAGGCTTTTAGTGACAGAAAAAACGGTTCGTAAAAGTCTAATTTTAATTTGGTCCATAAAAATCAATGCGATGAGAAAAATTGTCCCAAGCATGACCTGTGAATACTACCACTTAAAATCAACTCGTGAAAGGTTTATTCATAATGCTTAGATATCATCGTAAATAGTGGCGGAGGCAGGATTACCATCAAGGGGTTAAAAAAATAAAAAAGCTAAAAAGATTGTAGCACATGAGAATAGTAGATATCATCGTAAACAGTGGCGGAGACAGGATTACCGCCAAAGGGTTCAAAAAAAAGAAAAAGTTAAAAAGGTTGTAGCTAGTGGGAATTATAGGTGTTTATCGGACGGGCTGGGACGGGTTGAACAAAAAAACCAGCCCGTCCGATATCGGATCAGGTTGGTTAGCGGGCTGGGATAACGGGCTGGTAGCGAGTTGGGAATTTTCGGGTTATTTTGGGCCCGTTCGGGTTCGGGCGTGCCAAGATAGTGTAATTTTTTTTTCTTATTCAATGTTATTGATATTTAAGTGTTTGCAAACTTTTAAGGCTTAGAATTAAACTTTGAAGTTTAACTTTAATGTTTTAAATTTGAAATTTGAATATTAAAATTATAAAATTGAAATTAGAAAGTAAGTGACTACAAAAAATTATTTAATAAGACCAATAGACATTATGTAAGGAACAAACTCCGAAGGCATTCATTTTATATTTATAATACTTCAAATTAATTTGCAAGTTCTTTTTTGATTTTTTTAGTTTTGAACTTGCAAATTAAAAATTTACAACAATTACAAAAAAATAAGAAATAGTACATCACATATTTTGCATCATTTTTGTAAGTTCTTCCATGTCAACATGAGGTTCTTGGTTTCCGACATTGGTTGAATCGGAACCATAAACCATTATATCTCCAATTTCTTGGTCATCCTCTTCGTCTACCTCGGCACGCCCTTGATTTTGCCGTTCTGATCTTATCCAATCTCTGAAGCACACTAGAATTTCCAAAGCGTTGCTGCCCAATAAATGACGGGTATCTCCTAGCTGCTGCCTTGCTTGGCTAAATGCGCTCTCTGATGCGACTGTTGAAATCGGCACATTTAGCACGTCTCGAGCCATAGCCGAAAGAACAGGAAATTGATTTGAGTTTCTCTTCCACCAACCCAGCAGTAGAAAATCCTTTTGTGAGGGGGCTCTGGTGACTTTGGCAAGTAGAATTGGAGTTCATCAATATTCTTGCTACTGGTTTGTTGATGCTTTCCTAGTGTAGACCAAATCAAATAATCTTGAACACCATCATCATCATCCAAAGTTGTTCCAGATGTTGAAGTATTAGTTGAAGGAATATTTGCATCTACAACCGAAGAAGCATCAACAATGTTAGCATAATAATTATATAAAGTTTGTAAATAACTGTGTAGATCAGAAATACAAGTGTCAATATCAGGAGTTTCACTTGGTCCAATATCCATAAAAGTATATAAAGCACGGATTAATTGGCGACACTTTATCATTTTGATATTAGGGTTTAAAATAGCACCAATTAGGTAAATATGGAGAATTAGGTAAAAGTATTTTTTTAAACTTATCTAGCATTGATTCAACAACAGAAGTATATCCTTCTTTCTTCTTCAAATTATGTAGTAAAAGAGAAATTTCAATATTGTAATAGCAGCATTGTTGTTAGAAGCATTATCAAATGACATACACAAAACTTTTTCTGCAAGATTATAAAATATAGCAACTTCATGGATAGTATTACTTATAAATGCACCAGTATGACTTTGATCTTCATCATATTTAAAAACAATAATACGTTTTTGCATACAAAAATTATCATCTATCCAATGGCATGTAACAGTCAAATAATCATTTCCATTTACAACACGACCAATATCAGAAGTAAGAGAAACTCTACAAGAAAGACTTGCGAATAAATACCGTATATACGTCTGATATTGTCCAAAAAGCCTAAAGATATCAGCTATACAAGTACTTCTAGGAATACCTTTAAACATAGGGTTATAAATTCTTTGAATATAAATAATAAGATACGGTGAAGAAGCAAAACTAAAAGGTAAACAACCTAAAACAATCATTTTAGCTAATTCTTCCCGATCTTTCGTAATATCGTATTTACCCAATAACCCCCCAGTACTCGGGCTAAGTTTTTGTTGCCTAGATTCCTCATCTGCTCCCCAATCAAGAGGGTGTTTCTCTTCCATATGCCTACGAAGTTGACCCGTCCCCCCTCCCTTACCGGGCTCATGTTTATAATGTTCATTACAAATTTTACATTTTACATAATTTTTTTGATCTTCTACTCTTTCAAAAAACTTCTAACACTTACTTCTTAATCTTCGATTCTTCTTAATAGGGAGAGGAGATTTACTTGGTTTGACTAGCATTACCAGGTGTAGGTGGTGGTGTTTCAAGATTATCGGGTGATTGAATATCATCTAAAATATCATCTAAATCATCATCTATACCATAATATTCTTGCATTCTCTCATAATCTACATTTAAATTTTCAGGTGAACTTTCACAAATATGTGTAAAGCTACTAGAAGAACCAACACCACCTCTTGATCTTTTGGAAGTTATCTTACTACCACTACCACCTCTACTACTGCACATTTTTTTTGGCTGCTCTAAGTAAATCCATTATGTAAATTAAAGTAAAAATTAAATTAATAATTCTAAATAATAAAATAAGTGTACACCAAATAAGAGAAAGAGACGGAACGAGTGTACCGGAATTCCGGATGCCGCACTAATTTTGATATCAAAAATCAAACTTCAATTGATAGATCGAAACTTGATAGTTGATACTTGATAGTACTTGATACCACACTTCACTTGAATACTTGATATTTGATAATAATAATTTTGTAATGGCTAAACTAAATAATTGATGAAACTTGAAGTAATAAGTAATTGAGAATTTAAGAACAATAATATCAAGAGAGAATTAGAGTAGTAAGAGAGTGAATTGTGAGAAAAATTGAAGAAGAAGGGGGGCTATTTATAGATTTTAAAAGGTTAAAAATATAATTTTTTATATTATTAGGGGTGTGAGGGCTATATTTTTAATGGGGGAGGCCGAAATGGCCATTTCTGCAAAATCTGGCCGTTCCCCAACGGTCATTTCTGAATTTGACCGTTGGCAACGGTCCAAATAATTAAAAAAAAAATTGTAATGGTAACCGGGCTGAAGCGAGCTGCAACCCATTAACAACCTGTTAACGGGTTAACGGGCTTAGCGGGTACGGTGCACCGTAATCCAAAATATGTTCGTCCAAAACCTGCCCCCCGACCAACCCGTCCCAGCCCGCACATAAAGCTACAGTAACGAGCTGAATCGGGTTGAAAACCGGTCAGCCCGGCCCAATTAACACCTATAGTGGGAATAGAACCAATGACCTTAAAAAGGTTTTGAACTCCCTTGACCACTAAACTGTGTTTTAGAGCTGTGTCATGGAAATTCGAAACATAATATATAAAGGTCAAAACCAGATTTTGCCTTACGTATAAGGAGTTCGAGTGAACACGCTCCCGCCCCTAAATCCGCCCCTGATCGTAAACCGAATGTTGTTACCAAACTTTCTTGTCCCATCTTAAAATTCTTTGATCCTAAAATTATTTTCTTTACCTAAACTAGGCAGGGACGAGAGTGGTGTGTGGGGTGGGGAGGGAGGGAGATAAAAATTTACGAGAAAGTAAAACAAAACTATCTCCTTAACCGTTTGTTTGGATGATTGTTACATACCTTTTTTTTATTGTATCAAATTTCATTTTCTTGTATTGTATTATTTTAGTCTGTATAATATTTGAATAAGTTATATCGTTTTTCGTTGTTTCATAATGTCATTTGAAGAATATGCGTATAATATTATAATAAAAAAGTAAAGTATGAGGTAGAGTAATCATTAAAAAGGTAGATTGAAGAGTAAATAGGAATTATAATAAGGGTTAGATGAGAAAAATATAAGGTGACGACGTGACCACACCAAATCGGTCATTATGCAAAAGGGATCTTTGTTATATAATAATGACTTTAACGATAGAATATAATAACTAAAATAAATATGATTGTTAAAGTAACAATACGATACAATACAATATATAACACTTGACCAAACAAACTATAACTATATCTGGTTTGGATAGAAATAAAATGTAAAGGAAAATGCATTATTTTCTATATCAATCAGCGAGCGAAAGGATGTTGGAGCTGATGTTAATTGCTGTTGGGCCAAGCCCAATTACTCAACAAAAGACACGGCTACCCTAGGGAAAAAATCAGTAAAAATTGCACGGGGCGTTCTATTTGTGGTCGCCCCCATTAAACGTGTTGCCACTTTTTAAATTTCTTTTAACTTGTACCTACTGTTTAAATAATTTCAGGCCTTTTTCTCCTCTTTGTTCTTCTTCTTCTTCTTCTTCTTCGGGTAACAATAATTTTATATGGGGTTTGTGAACATATTTTAAGGTAGTTTATGATGTTTTTCAGTGGTAAGCTATTGTGGCACTTTATTATTTACTATTACTTGGGTTTTCTTCTTTTTCTT